CCCCAAAACCCCAAAACCCCAAAACCCCTCCAAACTTTCTCTCAATTGAATTATACCAAGATTCCCTTATTTCTATAAATCATCAATAATTCCCACTTTTAACCCATATTTTCCCTTTTCTATGCCTAAAGCCTTCTCACATTCATTCCACATTTCCCACTAAACCTTTTTTGACCCTCTTCCTTTCTCTAGTCGATCCAAACCCCCCTAAATGACCTGCAAAACCCCAAAATTCTACAATTTTAACTATTTTCTTCTTGCTGTTTCTTAGCCAGAATTAGCCATAAAGGGTATTTGGGTCAGCCAAATCTTAGCTCAGAAGCTAAGAATTTGTAGTCATTTATATCAATAAGTCATCTATTTCATCCCTGTTCTTCATATTCTTCCTCAAGATCTCTCTAGATAATGAGTTAAACTAGAGTAGAGAGATTGACAGAGCTGGAGAATAAAATTTTAGGGATGCTAGAGAGAAATTGGGTTTTAGTAGAGGAATAAGAGCTTACTTGTATCTTCTATCGTAGTCTATCTCTTCAGAATCGGAGCTTTCGTAGCTATAAAGGGGTAAGGAGGGATAGAGAAGGGGGTTACCTATCACTTGTCCGATAAACTCTTCTATTACCCCGATGGTGCTTTTTCACATCAAACTTTTTACTAAGCTCTTCTGTTTTACGAATTTCAGCTTCTATCGGTCCATTTTTAAGCTCCTTTTCTTTCTCTGGGAAGTGACGAAGATATGGCAAATTGAGATATCTTGAGGTATCTATGGAAAGAACGCATTTTTGGATAACATTTGAGACTTGACTAAAAATTAGATTCATAATCTTGCCTCAGTTTATTAAGTTTATCCTTCTTCATTATCGTCAGACCCTTAACTGGAGTGATTAAGGACACTTTCTTATCTCAGCATTCGCCATGAGCTTGACTCTGACTCCGGTTCTGACATTTTCTGAATTTTTGAATATTCTTCATCAATTTATCCATTATCTTTTCTCCATTATAAGGATATCAAATCGAACTAGGAACTTGCTCATTGTTAGGTACTAAACTTAGTCAGAAAAGAAAGTTTCCATACTTCTAGAATTATTATAGAAAATAGTATACTACATCTACTCATGAACTGGAAGAAAACCTACTTGATTTCCTCTTGAATCTAACCGAGCATTTGGCAAACTTCTTATATCCCCTGCTAGCCATCTTCTCAAGCCGACTCCTAGCTGATTTCTTAAGTGGGAATTTAGATAGAATATTTGCACTTTCCTTTGTCGAGAAGAAAAATCTAGTTTTATTTCCTGCTCGAAACTGGAGAAGGAAAACCTGAACTTGTTGACTGTTTGTCAAACATCTTAATTCTATTGTTTGGTGCAAACTTTTGAGAGGTTTTATAAGGACTATCCAACATGTACGAAGTACCTGGGCCTGAATTTAACTTAAAAATTACTCGCTACTACTGATCTATTGATAATAGACATTTATATTATATTTTTTCCTAACTGATCATTTAGGGGTTTTGGGGTTTTGGGGTTTTGGGGG